GCCTGCTGAAAGTTATCCTCAGGCCTGCTCAGCAGGGCATGTGAACTAAGGCTCTTCAAAGAGGGAGTGGCTACTTGCAGAACAACTGAAAGAATGGGAAGACTGAGCTGCAGACGTGAAATTCATGAACAGATGGGCACAAGTTTGCAAGTAAGATGAGTTGTTTTGATGCCCTGCAAAATCAAAGACAGGTTGCATCCAGGAAAAGCCCTAATAAGGCTACTGGTGCTGAGTAATTATAACATATGAAGTGACCAGCAAGACCATATCAGTTTAAGCAGGAGGGAAAAAAGAATAGGCAGAATGAGAATTCACATTATGAATCAAAGTAAGAAGTTCAAACTGTTGAAAAATATACTTGTTCTGCAGCCACACAGGTCATAAGTGGCTTCACCTTCCTATTTTTAAGTTCTGAAGTGCAATAATTTTTAGTATAGTGGTTCAATTTCTCAGGGCAGCAGATGGACCATATTTCCATATTTCAGCTTCAAGTAAGTTCTAAGTTTAGAGCAGTGCTAGAGTTCAGCTGTAGCAGAAAACTCAAAAAAAAAAAAAAAAAGGAAAAAAGCCACCTTACCTAGACAAAGTTTTCATAATGACAATTCAGTCTGATTAAAAAAAAAAAAGTAGTAAGACAAGCTGTATTTCTGACTGCCTAAGCTGAAGTTTAAATAGTGGTCTGTCCTAAGCAGATAGGTAAATCAAAGAAAAATCTTGCAGAGAAATAATGCATAAGTTCTAAAGATCCTTAAAGTTCCCACTCTTCATGGGAAACTGAACTAAACCAGGGGTTTAGCTGATGACTGATTCCACCTGCAATGACAGTCTAGTGGATACAGAGATAAAGGGTCACTCATGAATAGCATAAAGGACAGAAGTCAAAGGTCTAGCATTTTTTCCTTTCATCTTTTAAATGCTGGAATTACAGCCATTCACTCAAGCTTTCCCTGCCTACTCTGTTGTTTTCTATCACTGTAGCAATCCTCATTCCGTCATACAGCACACATCCAGAGAAGCTTTGAGATGTCTTCCCCAAATATTAAGCAGTTTTAGATCATGCTAAACAATAACACCACAAAAGTTTAAATAAACACCTAGTAAGGACTACAGCATATGGAGCAGATAGAGAATAATTAAATTAGTGTTGAAGTTTAACATCTTTATTAGGCAACCTTCCTGAAGTAGCTTTCTGCTGCAATAAACTCCTGTTGAATGTTATGTCTGAGCTGGTAAGATATACTTCCAAGAGATTGTAGATATGAACCTTACTGCTAGGAGACCACATGGGTCACTGAGTCCCTGAATCACACATCTGCTGCTTCTTGCTCCATTGTCACTAAGAGACGATTGTTTTACGAGAGCCAGCGCAGAAGAGATGACAGACAATTAAAGCTGCCTCAGACTTCATACAGTGATTAAAGTCACCCAGAAACTCACTGCCACTACTCTGGATCTTTAACCCTGCATTACAGACAGAAATATAAAACATCTCAGATGTGTGGAGAGGGTCCAGCCTCCTGACTGAGAACCAAGACTCACTTCTTTTACTTGGTTATGCATTTCTAGGTGATTGACATCTTTGTGTGGTGTACTCAAGGCACTGAAAACCTTCTCGTGCCTCCCTAACTCCTCTATATTATACCAGGTTTTCATAAGCTCTTCAATTTCTGTATACTACTTAACATTGTATTCCACCTCTGCCTCATTTATTTTCTTCTGTCACTAGAGACCTCCACCTAAAAAAAAAAAATGTAACTTTTGGGGGGCACAAACCACCACATTAACCAAAACATAGAAGTGTGAATAAATTATTTAGAGGGTTTCAAATTCTTAAATATTTGATAAAACCAGAATTATTCTGAAGCAGCTGAGGGCAGAGTTTGGCATAGCTCTCCAGACCTGTCCACTTGAAAAGGTGTAACACCAATAACAACCAGGCGGTAACACATACGTAAATCTGCACTGTAAACTAAAACTGATAGCTTTACTTCCACACAAATTACACTTTATCAGTAAAAGTATTGAATGAAGAAGAGTCAAACAGCTTCCACCTCTTGCTGGAGTTATTACTTACCTGTGCTGCGTGATTACAAAAGCGGAATCGAAGCGATGAGAAAAGGCACCTTTTGCTTACTGTCTATGCCTACCCAAAAAGCAGCAAGCAGGAGCCTAGAACCAGTTCTGGGAGCACTCTGAAGTGCTAGACTCTTATTTTGAAGGCTGTGCTTCACGTACTCTGCCAACTGACTCTAAAGATGCAAAGAGGGAGGATTCTCTACTTTATTACATCCAGTCAGTGTTTGTTTCAAGAATCCATTGGAGTTTTGGTGCCCATTAATTAAATTTCTTAACTGACTGTAACTGAAGTCCAAATCTGTGTACCATCTACTGCATGGTACGAAATGTTGCTATCAAAACCAAATGGATCTCATCAGGTCTGCAGTACATTAAAGCTGTATTCCACCAGTTTCTGGCATAATAGCTTAAAAGAAAAACTGGAAGAATTCCAAACACTTCTACAATTTCAAAATAAGAATAAAAAAGAAACCCCTCTGGTTCTCTTGAGACCTTTTGAGCTACTTAATACAGTACATGGATGCTAAAATTGTGCCTGCATCCAAGTCACAGAAACACTGTATACCCAAAAACAACGCACCCCCAACTTTCTCAGTGCACTATTTGTACATACTTTGGGGTTGAGGGAAAAGAGAGGAAAGAGAGAGTTCTACATCTGGCTTACATCAAACTATCAGATATTCAGTCAGTACTTACACATCCATGTGGTGGCCAGCACTTTGCAACCCATCCCCCATCTCCTTTTCTATTGCACTCCACTCACTGTAGGAAAAACAAACGAGAAACAACATCACACGTGAAGTGTAAGGGAAGTCAATAAGCTGCATCCTGTATATAGTTTCTTTCCAGGTGACACCTGAATGGAATACCTCAAAGTTAGACTTGGTCAAACTGTTTTCTTCTCCTAAGGAGCAACACTGACAATGTGGCAGGGCTATTTACGGCACTCTGTTAAACAATTCTCCCTGACACCTAAACTCATCTTCACAAATAAATTTACTTCGGGATTGTTTCTGAGCAGAAAGAGCCTTGTTGAAATAGCTAAAACTCGATTTCAAAAAGGAAACAAAAAAAGTCCTAGCACTTAAAATAAGAGGGGGGGGGAGGCAGAGAAAAAAAAAAAAAGGGAACTTTCTAAACCAGAATTTGGTGTTATATGCTCATCAAGAAGAAACTAAACTTTCCAGACTCACAACACAGACAGAAGGCTCTCATTCCAAAAACCAGAAGGTGGGATTTGACAAGCATTGTAGTGCTCCCAAAACCATTTGCTGTATGTTGTTTTCTGTTTTCATAGTAGACTGTTTAGTTCTATTCATTAAAAAAAAAAAAAAAAAAATCAGCTTATGACTCATTACTGCAACTGCCTATGCACACTAGGGAGATCATTTAGATAAAGAAGGAAACAGAGCTACCATAAAGATAGCAAGAGACTTGTTCTGGACATTCGAGTACGCACACTGCACTTTCAGTTCTGTTCTCAGCTTTGTGAAACCTTACGAGAGTTCTTAGTTACAAGAATTACATCCACAACTCTTTTTACAAAAAAAAAGGAGGGGGTCCCCTTATATTTCACATAATTTATGTGTAATGCATCTATTCTGTCCTTCGCTTTTTCATAAACATTCCACTCCGCTGATGGTGACATTTGTTTGTCTTTGTGTTATTACAGAACTACACCTAATTTCACTTTAAAACCCCCAATGAGAAAGACATCTGCAATCCATTAACCCAGAGAATTAAATTTAGCACTTGAACAGTGTGTAGAAGCAGGAGGTTTCCCTTAACCAGAAGTTTAGATTCTTTAATTCTCCAGTGACATGGAAAACTTGAGCATGCAATTCACTCACATAAATCAAGAAACAAATGGCAAATTCACTTAAAAAAGGTACTAAAATTGGATATAGCTGTTGATTTTTAACCCTTAAAAGGACGTAGACGCTCTTTCTCTTCAGAGACAACTGCCTGAAAATAGGTAGTAAGTTACCTCCTGAAGAAACAGAATGCCAAGGCAACAACAAAAGCCCCAAGGGTTGGGAATACAAAAAGAAGCCAAAGTCTTCCACAGAGATGAAGCTCAGCAGATCCAGGGACTGCTGTACCCAGAACAGAAATCTTACAAGTAATGCAATAAGAAGTTGTGCAAGGCAGACATTGAAATGTGTCAGATACAGTTTTCAAAAACATAACAACATAAACAACAAACTCTCTCTCTCTCTCTCTATCTCTCTCTCTCTCTCCCCACATCTCTCTGTCTAGGGATATATTTAAAAACTCTATGAACTCTTACCTGAATACTCTTCCATAGTTGCCATGGACTTTATAGACACCATACAGTCGGTCCGCCACCCTCTAAAATATTTTAGAGGCAGATTTTGGTTATCAACATTAAGAGCAATTGCTTTGTGAAAAACCCAAATACAAACTTCAAGCTAAAGACTTAATGTTTTTACACAGGTAAACAAGATTAGGCCTAAATCTAACCTAAGCCTCTACTGAAGGAAAAATCGACAGCATTAAGTTTCAAGACTGAAGTCACAATCAAGGTTATATTGAAAAGTAACATTTCAAGTATTTCTTTGGAATCACTCACATATAGAATATGCCTATGAAGACCACAAACATTCAGTTTTTGATAACCAGATGTAAGGCATAGCCTCCTTTACCCAAATAATGCTGAAGTTATATATACACTTGCTTATTTATCATAAAGATGGCAAGACCAAACTTCATCCTGTCACCAAGACCATAGGGAAAGCTGCACTAAAATTCCAGCAAGTGACTTGATTTTTCCATCCAGCTCAATGAAATGAAGGAAAGGAAATAAGCTATCCATTGCAGAACTTACTGCTCAAGCCAGAGATGTCATTTTAGCTGTTCAGCCATTTAGAGAGTCAGTACCTGCTGCAGCCAGGACTACAATGCTGGCAACAGCCTCAGAAGAAGAGAGAAGCACACCCTGAATCATGACTTGTAACCCTGATAATGCCCTTGTAATTGTGATGTACCACTGAATGAGTTTGAAGTTTGGCAAGAGTTAACCATTTTGGTCTGTCAAAAGAGTAAAAAGGAAACATAAGTAAACTGCCCAACAGATCTCTCACACAAAGAGCAGTATCAGTAGAACATCAGTGATTAATCCTCTCAAGAACTTCAGCTCAGAACAATCCATTACCGCCCTTTATGCCACACAATTTCTATCAAAAATTAAATTCCTGTTGAACATAATAAAAAACAGTATCATGCTCATTATTGGAATTGTAATTTCCCATTTCTTTTGTGACTTTAAAAGAAAAATCTTCCATTTTCAACCCACAGTGTATCTTGGTGCATGACATAATTATTCTTATCATTAGAAAGAACATTATTCATTACAGATTGAAGAACAAGCCAAAACAAGAAGTGTGCTTTGCAGCATGCACGACTCATAGCATAAGCTCTGGAAAAAGAGGTATTATATGTCTGACCAGAAAACTGTGTTTTGGTGCCCTTCCCAGCCCAGACATCCAACAAAAGCAACTTGTCTGCTGAGTAGAGAGAAGCAGACATCTTGATCTTCCTTAAAACACCTCCCTCCGATACGTGACATTCAGGGGAGAGGGCAGATTAGCAACATGCACGTGTTTGCTCCTCCAGTGACTGTCAAACCACCTTCACATTTGGATCTCATTCCCCCCCAAGATCTGTATGACACCAGAGCCCATTCCCCTTGCCATCTCCTGCCCCACACTCCAGAGCCAGACTCTCAGGCAAACTGCTCTTCTTCTAGAGCACATACACCAGTTTTCTTGACTAAACGAGAACTACTGCCTTAGAAATGACTGCTACTATTTGTCATGACACACATGGGACATACTTACAGCTCTGACTCGCAGGAGGTGTGATATGACAGACTGCAGTTCATCGCTGTAGTGTTTGAGCTCGGTGAACCTCCTGGGGGCAGGAAGCAGGGAGTACATCACTAGGCACCCTGAAAGCAAGCGTGCACCCCAGAGAGGGCCGCAGGCGGGGACGGAGCCTGCGGCGCCCTCAGCCGGGATTAGCTGAAGACTCCTACAGAAGTGATTGCAGAGTTTCATTTCCCCAAAGCAAACAACCCAACACTTGCATAACTGTTTGTTTGGGGATTTTTTGTGTAGGTTTTTTTTTTTGGTTTTTTTTTTTTAGGTAAATGATGAAGGTTCAGAATCATTTAAGCAATGAATTTTTATGAAATATAAGTAGTTAACTGAAATGACTACACCATTGCATTATTTTTTTTAATGGGATGTATAAAAGCAAGCATGAATGAATAGGAAAGCTTCAAACAAGTACAAATCCAAAATCTGCTTAGGCATATATATATACTTCCTAATAAAAACGTATCCACCTTTCTGACCTGACAAAGATACTTGGCTTTCAAGCTGCCATCTAGCCAGTTTTAAGCATTGCCTTTCAGAAGTTCCAGGGAGCGTGGACAACTATCACAATTTCTCTAAGGCTAAGCTGTAGGGCAACTGTTCCTGGTTACGCACGACACCCTGCTGAGACCTGTACCTGCACAGGAGTCACGCACAGCTAAAAGCCATCAAATCACTGCACCTTAGCAAGGTACCCGTCAGGTAACCCATCACGAGTGACCCTGTGCAGACTGCTGGCCTGCCACTGCTGAAGGAAGGAGGTGTTGTATCTACCACCCCAGTTAAGCCTTGGTGTTAGTCTAAGTTGACACATTCAGCTCATCCTAATCACCAAGAGGCTCTGCTCAACAGAGGCAGCTGTCAGAGCTTTGCTAGAGCAGAGTCAGAGCAACAGTCACTTCTGCATCCATAAACCCTTCCTACTACACATAAGTCTAACTCACGACCTACTTTAGCACACAAGAACATATTTCATGCAGATGGGAAGCCAGGAACAGCTTCACCTAAATTACTAAACAATGATCTTAAAACAAATAACACAGAACACCACAACTAGAATTAAGGAACGTGAGATTAAGACTAGCCTTCCAGGTTGTGGTACAAGCATAAAAAACAGCTTCATCCCTCCTTCCACCCTAGGCACACAGTCAGGCTTTTTATTTCCAAATAGCTTGCACCCAAGAGGTCTTACTGAAATGAGTCAGGTCACTTGTTCTGGGTGACCAAGGATGAAATTCCAGGGTTTTTCATTTAACACCTCTTCTTCCCCTGCCAGGAAGTCTTCCCCTAAAATATTCTCCTCCTTACATTCAGGAAGTAGAAGCTTTATTACAATTTCTAATATTTTTGATCTCCAAGGAGCATCTTTTATAAGACTATGACACACAGAGGGTTAAAGTACACAAAAAGATTTAAAGGCTAGCAGAGGAACTGTATGGGAAAAATAAATATGGTCATTGATCTGCACAATGGGGTTTAGAGAGCAATCTTTTCAGTTTACACTTTATAAAATATGCACCAGGGCTGCATGTCAGACAGCTGCAGACACGTACAGTGAAGATACTTGAAATAACTGAACTCAAAACAAAAGATTAAAAAGCATGCCTTCAGCCCAGGAAGACTCCCCTTTCCACTCCAGAAATTTATAATGAAAAGTTCTATTCATCCTGCTTTGTGGCAGTAAAGCTTTTAGGAATGCCATACTCCCCGACAGCAAGAGTCAGGAACCTAAGAGGACTTTCAGTATCCTGGACTCCAGCAGCAATACATCTTGTCCTCATGCCATTTCCTCCTCCATCAAAAAATAAAATCATAATTTTTTAAAAAAATTACTACTCCAGAACCAAGCTGTCTCCTTTTCACTGTCTCAGAGAACCATAAACCAAAGTGATGCTATCTTTTGCCCAATCTTCTGTGAAGGCTGAAAATTCTACAAATGTAATTTTTTCAAGAATTACTGTCTTCCAGGGACTGCTGGTGTTGCAGATGAAAGGTTTATTTCTCAAGTATTTGCTTAAGTTGTACTCATTGCTCATGTAAAAAAATTACATAATTATAAAGCAATTTCCAAACTGAGTTTGGCAAGGCACACAAACGGATGTTTAATTCCCAGTGCATCATAACAGCAGAAGTGTGAAGCAGTTCCACACAATAGTTTTTGCAAGCAGTAGCTGAGGTTTTTCTAACTAGCATTTTTCACTTGGTTTTACTGGTTCTGCAACATTACCAGCAGTCTAGATTAATTGAGCTATTAAGCAGAACTTTAGATGCAAGTGAAGAACAGAGCAGGTCATATTTCTGTAGGATCACCAACAGGTTCCTTCAAAAGCATCTTTCACATTAAAGGCAAAGAAGAAAATTTAATTTATAGTAGAGGCATTCCAGTGCAAGTCATTTACTTGGTGCATTTGGCTCGGCAGGACTCCCTCCTACATCAGGGAGGGCAGAATCGCTTTCCTGTTTGTTGAGGAAGATATTGCGCGAACAGAATTGTTCTCTGAAGAACATGCCACTTGTCCCACTAACTAGACAAAAAAAGGAGACTTTTTTTTTCTTTTTTTCTAAATTTTGCCTTAGGAAAGGATTAACGCTTCCTAAAGAAACCTTTCACCAAGAAGAAAGCTACTGTTTTGATTTAAGTACAGAAAGAGAGCAAGAGGGTGTGTGCCATGAGGCCAAACTGGAGAGCTCTGCAGTAGATACCAATTTACCTCTTAAATACCAGAATACCACATTTTTATCACCATATAATTCCCTCATTAAAGATATTAATTGCTTCCTGGGGGATGAGGTTTAGTTTCCAGTCTGCATTTGACTCCTTGAGCAGCACTGTTTCAGCTGTGTAAATCTCCTCAGGTTGCTCTAAGCTGAAGGGTGCAGCTGCACAGGACCCCGAGGCAACCCAGACTGGGAGTTACAGCTGCTCTTCACCTGAACCCTGCCTGGTCCAGGAACATAAAAGCCTACACTCACAGCAGTCAGAGCTTCTGTTTTGGCAAGGTGAGCTTGCTGAACCCACTTCACCACCCAGTCCCATGAGCACCAAATGTAATGCAGGGAGGCAAGGCAGGAGATTCCAGGCAGCTGGAGCTAGGTGTGCTGGGCAGAGCAAGGCACCATTCCTCCTGTTAGGGCCACACATGCTTTGCTAAAACGCTCTGCCAGAACTAAAAGAAATACAAGTTACGCTCAGCAGTTATTTATTAAAAACCTGGTATCCAAAAGTTCATTTTGGAAGCTATGTAGCTGGCAGAATACAATAGAAAGCACATGTCATATCTCTTAAGGGCTGCGAAGTCTCTTTTGGGAGAGACATATTAGGGACTGGTTTTGATATAAACCCTTCCTCATATTTTCCTTGTATTAATCCTCCTCCTGCTTTTTACCAAGCCACTTCTCACAACAGCTCTCCTTCCACAAGCATTACGTTACCTCAAAAGATAACAGTATATTCTCATCTTGGTCTTGCCCACCTATGCCTACAGGCAGACTGCTGGCAGTTTCTTTGCCCTGAAATCAGGAAAAGCTAATTCCTTCTAGCCACAGAGGAAGATGATGGAGGATGAAGCACTCGAACAAGGGGCCAATTTCATTTGTAGCTACTGAGAGAATTGCTGTCTTGATCTCATTCCTGAATGTTATCTTTTATATCAAATCTAAACATTTCCTTGGTGTCACAGAAGGCTGCAAAAGCAAACACAGTCAAAAAGGAGGGACTGGATCAAGTCACAGATAAGTCTATAAAGAGGTTTGGAAAGGTAAGTGCCCTCTAACATCCTTAATACCATATCCAAAGGTGTTAGGAAGTAAGAAATAGAACAGACAAGAGCAAACAGCCAGGCACATGGACTCTCCTCAAACAGCATTTCCTGTTGCCACTATTGGCCAGCAGATGAACCCAGAAGAGGACTTCATACAGGTCTCTGTTGCTCATTGATGGCAAACACCATCACTTCTCAAACATTAGTGTGCAGCCGTAAGGTCAACTACAGCAGAAACTCTCGTTTTACCCTCCTCACTTCACCTCGGGTATGGTGAACCTTCCACTACACACCCTTACACTTCTGACCATTATTTTTATCCATCAGATTGCTCTGCTGCCTGTCCCAGAGCTTCCTAAACTGTAACAGAGCTGAACGGACCTCTGGACTTCCAAAAGCATCTGTAAAAATTGGCAGCTTGGAGAGAACTACAAACTGCAACACCAGGGTGCATGCAACCAGAATTGTACATGAGCAGATTTTTGGAAAGACCTACTATTAATCTGTACTCCGTTCACACTTGGAAAGATTTCTTTGCCAATAAATATTAAAAAGTTCTTTTCTGGGTCTGTTTTCGTTGGGTTCTTTTCCCCCCTCCTTTAAATCTAGAGAAAACGAAGGACTCATTTTGCACAAGGTGATGGCATTTTTCTGAATGTGTCTTACTCCTAGAAACAGGATCTATCAAACATTTTCACATTATCTGCTTACTGGGATTCTGTCGAGAGCTGAAGTGCAGAAAGAGAATTTTTCTTTTCTGAATTTGTTCTAAGGAGTTAGAATATCCTGTCACCTGAAGTTACAAGTGTAACTGAAAAAGGGAAAGGCAGGGAAGAAGGATGTGGAATCTTACTTGTCTGGGTTTTTCACTCTGAATGTTGCATTAAGAGCTTTTAATCTGGAATCTGCCTGAAAAAAGGGGAAAAAGAACTTTGTTAATTTAATGCAATTAAATTCCAGTAACAAAACTCTCAGCTTTCTGGCATCACTATTAATAAAAAAAACCAAATCCTTGCCTTCCTGGAATATTTAACACTACCTGTCCTGTATGGCAGATTTTTAAATTAAAAAGTAAAAAAAATAAGCTATTTTTGTGAACTAGGACATAAACAGTATCCACTAAAATTAAGCTGGTATAATCCAAGCCCCACAAAAATAGTCCCTTCTTAAAACACTACACAAATCATGGAGTTAAGATACACAGCCCTACATTCTTTTTAGATGAAGCAATTAGGTAACATAAGACCATATGGACAAACTATTTTATATTTTTCAAACCAAATAAAACCAGTGGTAGAATGACTTCTACATGCTCTTTATTACTAGGAACAGTTCTCCAGTGAAATCAAATTCTTATATATGGTGTTCTCTTATTTTATGATTTGCTTCACAGAAAATATGTAATTTGTATATCAGAATAGAGGTACTTTGAATACCATGTTCTTTTCTATATCATAGCATATATAAATCTCTACAGAAGAAAGTTCAATACCTAATTAAAATGTAATTGGTTTCTTTACATTTTGAGATGTTGGTTTACCAGCGACTGCAACAGCAGTATGGAATCCCTCTAAGGAGTTTGTGGGTATTTTTTTTTAGTTTAATTAGACACTAAATTGTGTAACAGGTATTTACTCTCATAAGACTAACACTGATGAGACATCCTAGCCTCACCCACAGAGGTCCCACACTGGCACAACTTTTTCACTTCTAAATGGCATTTTACACACATCCACTCACGGCTCACCTGTACTGCACGAAACCTCCAGCTCGGGGAAAATGGCTGGAGTTTACTTTTGATCAAAACACTTCCCTCTTCAGTGAAAGAATAATAAATGAACACATCTTGTGAGGTGTGTTCAGATCTCCTATAGCATTCTCTCTTAGATAACAGACTGTGCCACAACTGCTAGCAGAAGTTATTTCAGCAGTATTTGTTAATGCTGGTATATGATACAGGAGTAGTTTGTGCACTGCTGCAGCCAACTTGGAGCTTGAAAAGCTATTTTGAATTTGACAGTGAAGGGAACAGAGTGTTCTCCCAAACCAAAAACAGAGTCCTTCCTTTATGGTCCTTCCAATAACTTCTACAGATAAGACAGGCACAGTTTCAAACTATTCCATCTCCCACTGCCTTGGGGCTGAGCAGAAGATATCAATGTTTGAATGTCACTGCAAGATCCTTTCACCTGGAATCACCTCTGTATCTGGAGGGCATTTAGGAAAGCATTCAAGTTGAGGGCAAAGCAGTTTCTTTCCTGCGGGTAGGATGAGAGGCACTGATGGAAATCTTGCTAACTATAGCTGTCCTCCTTCCAATCCCTGAACCACCAATAAAAAACAACCCACAAACCAAAAGGTTAAAGTGAAAAACCTGTATGACCAAGCTTGACCAATATTGAAAGAAAACAGGTTCATTGTTACAGCTATGTCCAGCACTCTTCCAAGAATATCTTGCAAAGGGAGGACATGAGCAGCATGGAGAAGCATGTCCAGCACGGCACAAAGAACACAAAACACTGCAGTAACTCCAGCTCCCAAAGTCTTTTATGTCTATTCAGAGTGCTCCACAGGGTTGCATGGCCTTGGATCTCCACTGCTTCAGCCTCACACGTCACTTTACAAGTCAGTTAAATTTCAGGTTATTGAGATGCACCTAGATGTACTCCTCACATTCTCCAACAGTACAAACACTACCTAGATACACTAACATTAAATCAGAACCCTTCCCTCTATGTAGCTGCTTCACAAAATACTGCATTCAGGCCCAAATAGCAGACACCAAAGCCAGCAGAGTTTGCTGGGACAGCATGCACATTCAACAGGTTTACACTCAAAAAGGATCACTTCCTACATTACAGTTACAGAGCAAGTTTCTGCCTTTTGGTACAGACACATGTAGTGCTCTGCAGGAAGAGTTCAGTAAGTACACAAGTGCATTCAGGCAGGAACCAAGATCCTCCCAACACTCCAGCATATAAGCAGGGTTATTTCCTTCTTGCTGTTAACAGCACAGTAACTCCCACACACCACTTTAGAGAGTTTGCAAGAATGAAGCTATGCTGTTAGAAAAATGTCTGTCCAGTCTTAAGCCTGAATTAAGACAAATATGCACAAGCTTTTTAGCTATGAACTCCCCATCGAATGAGGCACAGTCAAGGAGTTTTCAAACATTTAATTCCTACAGTGATCCTGTAATCATTTAGGTAAAGAATTTTCTCCTTCCTAAAGGAAGAGTTAAAATCCCAAGTGACAAATCCCTTAAAGAACAAAATTAGAGTGCTGGGGGTGTGAGGGAGGAAAGGCATGATTTAATGATACAGTTGGCAGTATAAACAAAGTCTCCAACATCAACATTCAACTCTAACATGCTACACTGCATTAATGCCCAATTTAAGGTTTAATCAGCCCAGTTCAAACCCTTTGGGACAAAAGACACATCCTGCTTTAATGCATCAGCAGCACACACAGCAGCAGTATGTAAACCAGTGGTCTGATTCTAGTCTAAGTCACGCAGCGAATAGAGTTTTGTCCTCCAGTGTAATGTTAAATCATCTCCAAGCTTGAGGGGTTTATACTTCAGAAGTTGAATAAAGGTAATATGCTTTTCCCCATGCTTTTGCAAAAAGTTACTTTTCTCCATGAGGAAACAAGAACTGCAAAAGGGAAACTACACACACAATCAAATCTAGAAGGAAAGCAGGACTTGCTCATCTCTCATTTAATCTAAAGTACAGTTTCAGCTAAGCAAATATTCACAGCATTCTGCTGAGAGTTTTCTTTCATACACACACTGCTGTGTGCACCCCTGAACATGCCCTGCCAGTACAAACTTTCTGAACTACTGTGAGTGTAAGCTGAAACAAAGATGTGTTGACTAGACAAATACAGCTCGAAAACTTTACATACTTGGTATTATGAATACTAGCAATATGCAAGCCTACCAACATGGAAGACAGTTATTGACAACTTAAGTTATCAAGATTAAGTGTCAGTATCCACGGCCCTTGGACATTGAGGATAAAAGCATCAGTGATTTTCTTCATCTCGCCCTGTTCAGAGTAATTCAGAAATCACCTAGTTTTCAGGTTTGCTTTCATGAGAGTTGATCAGGTTACAATGAAACGAAAGCTGAGTATTGGTCTCCATACAGTACCTTGTCCAAGCACAGCCCAGCAATCCATCAGTTTCTCACAGGTTCTTGCCCTGTACAGGCACAGAACCTGTGATCATTTATTCCTGCAAGACTTCCACCAGTCTACCCAGCTGCAAATTCACTGTTGTTAATGGGGATAGTACTTCTCCTAGACACATTCTGTTAAACAGTTAAGGGGCACCAAACCCATCTGTCATAGTCTCTTTCAAAGCTCATCCCTGTAGCCAAGTCCTATAATTCAGATCCCTTTACTTGCCTTTTTTTTTTTTTGACACCTTCCACCTCTTACCAGGCTAAATCTGATACCCACCTATCTTTAAAGCAACGCTAAACTAAACTGACAACATACAGGAGCACTGCTATGGGCTCAGGTTCATTAGTTTTAAAGCATGTAAGGATCAAAACTTTACATCACTAGAAGAATTACAAGGCTGACCATCAAACATAGGCACATATTAACAAGTCTGCTAAAGAATTTAACAACTCTAGTCTTACCTATGACATGCTAAGACCACCACCAGGTTTTGTAGTTAAAAGTATACATGAAGCCATGCCTTTAGCTGATTCTAACAGCAAGCAGCTCTTCATAAACAGCCCAGTGGTCATGATACAACTACAGTAATTACCTTTAACTGAAATCCAGTCTCATTCACTATTTCTTTCCATCCACTTTCCTAAAGATACAGAAAAAGAACATTCAGTTAGAGTGATTTAAAAGCGGCACAGCTTCTGCAAGTCCCTGTATCAGAAGAGGTTCTCCAGTAAGCCTGGGTTCCGTCACAGCTACTCTCCCCATGTCTTTTCAAGAATCTGGGTTAAGAAGAAGATACTTGCACACTAACAGACCCCAAAAAACTCTCACCTCTTCACTACTCAATTACCTCATTCTATCAAGCGGGGGCAGAAGCCACACAGCTTTGTCAAAAGAATTAGCTCAGCTCTTTAGAAAAAAGGGTAGTTATCAATTACCTCTTAATTATGGGCAGCTCCAAGGACCTTTGCTGCCTGAGGCAGAGAACACACAGAGACCACAGAGGTGACAACTGTTCACAGTGCACATGCAGTCACCTCACTCCTGTAGTGGTTGACTGTCCACTGTTTTCAGTTCCCACACACTGGTTCACCTACACGCTATATGGTGCTGTGGTAAACCTATCTGCTCAAGGCACTATCTGGGAATCCCTCATTGAAGCACAGAAAAAGTGAAACATCCAACTTCTCCTGAAGCTGAGAACTACAGCATGCAATGCTTTAGCTGACAACTGGATCACAACTTTCGTGATAACATGACACATATGAATGGATCATGACTCAAACTGCAAAGCCAAAGAAACCATGGACATCCAAAAACTAAATTGGAAGCCAGTACTGCCTTTGCAGCCAGCAGTGTAGCATGATAACTATTTCAGCTTTAGTCCTACGGAAGCTTTCCCAACCAACACATGTTAAGTTCCCAATGTGCTGTTCCAAAGAGGTGGAAATTCTCTCTTAAGAGCCTTAAAACTAGACTGGAAAAAAGTCATAAAGTACATCAGAAGGCCAATTGTTCAACTGCAGTGGGTTGTTAAGAGCTTTTAGTTGGATAAGCCTTTTCCACCTCAAGTTTATTCATGTTGTCTGTCCTTCTAGACACAGAACAAGCTATAGGTCAATGGGAGGGAAGAAAAGCAAAAGGACATTATCTTAAATACATTCTATAGTGATTATGTATTTAAAAAGCACATCACTTTACCTGTGTTAAAAATGAATAAAAGATTTTGTCTTGGCAAAGAACAGGATGTGAAGCCACACGTAACAAGAAGTTTTCCAAACCAATTCTTCTTCTTTCCACAAAATCTGGATCCATATTATCTGCTGATAGCTTATGCCAAACAAAGTCAGCCTATTTAAACAGAAGAGTGTCAACAGTAAATAAATAACAAACAATACAAAGAAAGCTGCAGCCTCAGCTTCCTTACCCTTTTTTCTGGCAGAGGTGGAACAACAATATGTGGATAGGTAACCGACAAATAATTCCTCAACAATTCGAATTCACTGTAGCGTCGCCATAGGGAGTCCACTGGGGCACACTGTCCCTCACCCTGGGACTCAACAGCTCTGAAAGATAACACACCAAATTTGAGCATTAGTCAGTTATCACCTTCTTCTTCATATCATCAGTACAATTATAGCAAAGGCCCTAGAAATAGCTACCCAGTAATGATTACTGTATAACTTGCACATAATCTAAAGTACCCTGAATTAATTTCATGCATATACACTTCATTTTAAAATATTTATAGTTTCTGCCTGATAGCACTCAAATTTTTTTAGGAACATGGGAAAACAACACTTTTTCCATCACACCACGAACAGGTAAGTCACAATCAAATAGTCACACAAGTGATTTAGTTCATGTTACTACAGAATTAGACGTATTTCTGTTGGACTAGACTTAAGCTTCAAGTCAGCATGATTTCATGAGCAGCTGAAGGATACAGGGTGTTACAAGAAGGAATTTACTATTGAATTTAATATTTACTATTCAGTGCAAAAATCTTCAATTCAGAGAATAAAGTATCTTGCCTGCAACAGCTAGAATAGTTAATAATATAACTTACAAATATTTTAAAAATATAAACGGTATTTTTAGAAAACCATAGCAAACTTCAAAGCACTTCAGGGTTTTTTTGTTCAAAATGATCTTTTTTTATTTACAGACCAAGAAGATGCAGTCTAAAAAACCAGCTAAAAATAAAGTAAGCAAGAACAAAATTGATGCATCTGAAAAATTTGTTGAAAACTTAAAGCCAACATTACCTAGCAAGGTATTAAAGGATTTTCTGTTACTATTAAAGGAGAAATCACAGAATACTACAGGATTGAGAGGTAATACAAAAACTTAAAAACAAAATCATTCTTCACACAAGACATTTAAAGAAACGTAAATACTTTGCAATGTCATAAAATAAGCATCAAGTCAATAACACTTCTCAGCAGTCAGCACATGGCAGAATGAACACAGAGAATTCACAGGCACTTAGCAGAAGCCACTAATGTCTATGTCTACTTTAGTTCTTCTATTAAGTAACTAATTAGCACAAAAAGCACTGGCACTAACCTACATGAAGCAGTACTATGTTACGAGATTACCACAGATTAGTTGAGGCTGGAAGGGACCTCTGCACATCTGTAATCCAACTCCCTTGCTCAAGGCAGGCTGCTCAGAGCCATGTCCAGTTGGGTTTTGAGTATCTCCAATGACAGAGGCTCTACCACCACACTGGGCAACCCATTTTCTTGCCCTCTCTGTCATCCCAGAAAGAATCTGACTCCACCTTCTTCACCTCCAGGTGACTGATACACATTGCTAAGACCCCCTGAGCTGTGTCTCTGTTTTGCCAATGACCAGGCCCAACAAGAATGATACAGCCAGCATAAAGAGAATCCAATACACAGACTGTATTGTAGACAAAAACATTATGATATGAATGATCGCTGGGGGTACAAACAGGTCAATCAGCTGGTACATAAACGACGCCACCCCCAACAACCCCACAAAAGACATGACTTGGCCCACAACAGGTGGTACAGAGACCCGAGGGTTCCCATAGTTGGCATGGGAAACAGCCAAACCAGCCAGTCAAATACATGAGAAAAAGGTGCCCACACTCTCACCTGATCCGCCCGCATTCACAAAGGCCTAAACAGACCAGGGCCCAGCTCCAGGGAGAGTCAGGAGGTCTGCCCTGAACCAGGAAGCTCTGGGGAGTGCACTCCACAGACAGACACTCCTGACTCCCTGCCAGTGGTCCCAGCTTTTATCCCCAAGCAGACACCTGACCTTTGTCAGCTCACTGCGGGACCCCTGGGGCTCATTTCCCTTCTGGCTCTCCCTGCAGGGCCGGCTGCACCCTGGGGGGAAGCTATAAGGCAAACTCACCTCCTCTGTATGAAGGGCTGTGGGAATCACCCATATGTCAACCTTAATTCGGGGCTCAGGGTTCAGACCCCAGCATTTCAGTCTCTCAGAGGCTGAACAACCCCAGCTCTCACAGCCTCTCCCTGCACATCAGACACTCCAAGCCCATTATCATCTTCATGGTCCTTCACTGGACTTGCTTCAGTATGTCAACATCTTCCTTGTACTGAGGAGCATGACACTGGGCACAGAAGTTGGGAACTACAAGTACTCACTCACACGGTACTCACTAGAACATGGTACTATGTTATTTCTTCCAGCAGAATTCAGACTTTATACTTCCTGAATTCATAAGAACTTACTTGAGTAAATTTTTAAACCATTTAAATAGCATACAGATTATTGACTTTTTTACGCTACTCTTAACCTACAAGGTTGGGTTTCTAAAGACCTTACTGAAAGCCAAACAATCCCTCTCCAGAGCGGCCCAAATTATTCAATACACTTAAACAAAATACAAGAAGCCTTTGTCATCCATTTCTGAACTCTTATTGGAGAGGAAAAGCCTTGCTATATACTCTTGTTAAGATTTTTTTTTTTAAAGCACGGTTACATCTTGAAGGTTGAAGTAATTTAATACAGAATTATGCAAAAGGAATTTTTTTAAATGAGTAAAGCAGAACATTTTCTGTGTATCTATCTGTGCTTTGTAGAGAAGACATTATTCCAGGTGACTGAATTCATAGGGAAAAAAAAAAAAAAAAAAAAAAACACCAAATCACATGAGGGAAGAAAAAGGGATGTATTCATCAGCATTCAACACAAACTGCTGCAGATAAAAACTGTTTGAGACTGACCTGAGAGAAAAGCACATGGCTGACAGTCACTACATAGCACTGCACACATCCCACAGAACTGGTCCCTGTTAGAGTATTTCATTTCAACGAAGTGGCAACTGCAGCCTCTGAGTTTGGAAGGGGGCAAAGCTCAGCTCAGCTAGGCTGACAGGCCGTGCAGCATTCCGTCCTACAGGAACGTTGCACAACTGAAACATTTCAAGAACACTTCAGCTAAAAGCAGGTATCTAGTGATTGTGTTATTGCTGAGTTGGAGGTAAATTTAAATAGATAAAGAATTAAGCATTATGCCCTGGAAGATCAGATATTTAGTTGAAAGCTGAAGGCTAGTTGAAAGCTGAAGGCACAAACCTTACTCTCCTAGACAAGAAATTCCTCACAGGGTTTGGTAAATCAAGGGTCTGGTCATTCAAGACACTCACATAACAGTACTTCAGAATTCAGGATCCTTTTAATCTCCAGCTTCAGCAGCTATGGGTTTCAAGAGCACTACTTCTGCATGGGTTATTAAGCAAGACTGACACCATCAATGTACCACAGGGTTATGTTGGCCCTGTGTGAAACCATACTACACAAGCAAACATGAACAGGGAGACCAGGACTGCCCTGAGAACCCAGCTGCATCCCAGGAGGACCCACCTGTGCTGCAGAGAGAGATACTGCTGTGCCACAGACCCACACAGAGCTAAGCAGACACTACACAGAGTGAGGCAGCAGGAAGGTTACAGATCCAGACCTCAGGTCTGGAACAAGGAGTTCTTCATCGTAACACAGATGTTCTATCAAGCAAGAAAGAGAGGACTTGGTCCTCTGCTATTAAATGTCTCCATCACTCCTGTGCATAACCACTTCCTGGGCACAGCAAATGCAACCCTGGGACTGGCACAGGAGTTGTGTTTAACAAGCTCTTCTTTCCAGTTTTGATTTTTGTGTTACAGGAGAGTTTCATTATTTGATTTTATTTTTTTAAATTTAACTGAAGTTTAAGACTGCTTGCCTCACCTCATAACTAGAGGCAGGTTAGGTGTGCACACACTACTGACAGTTCATGGCAGCCTAACACATTTCAGACATACAGTAGAGTTACAGAGGCTTGAGAAGTTACCACCAAAGGTAAACTGCACAAAAAACAGTTCACATTATTCTTTAAATATCATTCTTATTTTTCTTGTCAATATGAGCCCCTAAGGAAAAGTACTGCTAACCACAATGATTTTTCATCTCAGCTTATCCTATGGGCTTGCACTGCCATGGGTAACTTCAAATATAAAGTTCTCCACCTCCTGAGTACCAAGTATTTAGAACAGCTCATTTGGCTGTTTCATTCCAACACAGCGTGTGCATAAGTGTTGCCTTCTGCCTCTAACCCAATCAATTCCCAATGCACTGCAAGTCTGACTTTATATTTATCACTTTCTGAATGACTACAGGTCATTCAAATGAGGTCAGCACAGAGAAGAATGAAAAGGAGTTTATCTTTCAAGGAACTTTCTGGTCCAGCTATTCCTACTCAATTTTCAACTACACATCTGTAGAAATACCTCACAAGATGTTCAGAAAGAACTGTCCCAAATTTTGGTAGTATGCATCTGTAAGTAGCCTCAATATAGCATTCTCATACCAAACACAATTACAGTAATTAACACTAGTTGTATAAAGTTTGTCTTCCACAGTTGCTCTGCCTTCACTGCTCCCGCTCTGGGGAGCTCTGTGCCATTCCTCCACATCCCTATTTTTGCCAATTCAGCTGTATCCCATAAAAGTTGATGTGTATTTTTCCTAGAATTCCCAGTTCCTGCAGTCAAGACAGTCACATCATCATTTAGGAAGCTGCAACAGTTTCAACATCACAAGTGTGATAAAAGAACTAAGAACAGTGCTCTGCTACAGACTAACAAGATTAAAAGAAATCAAGAAGAATGTCTTTAGGAATCTATGAAGACACTTTTAAAGTTGTCTGTTTGTGGAATGAACTATACTCTTACTCCTTGGTACAGATTACAGGTTAGAAGAGAGTGCACTTGCAGTTCACTTTCCTATCCTACAAATATTGAAGGGAGGCAAATACACCCATAGGACCATCACATATTTCAGCAGTGTAGCAATCCATTTATAATTTGTAAGGGTCATCACACCATCAGTAATCTGCCATTGCAAAGGGTGACAGCCTTCTGACAAGTGAACATTCCAGTGCAAATTAGGTTCTTAATGCTTTATGTCCATTTTGCAGTTAACTAGAAGCAGCAAAGACCACGTGGAGCCTTAACTGTGCAAAAATTTTCTCAATATGCCTGCTATATCAGCTTTGTATTTGTCAGAATTAACAAGAACACATCAGT